CGAAATCATTGGCTCCAGGCGTTTCGTTTTGTATTTCACAAGCTCGAGCCTGGCGGTGGGGTGTTTCAAGCTCCAAGCCCTGATTAGTTCAGGGTTTATGGGAAGCATGGGAAAACAAAGGGACTCCCGTTTTGTAGTCCAGGGTTTCTATGCTACTGGGTCCCTCTATTTTACATCCCTGGTTGAAAATAGCTGCGCTGCATTGCACTGGCTCCAGGTTTGGCTCATTTGACCCGGTGGAATCTGTCGATTTGTGCCAAAACCTTGCAGAGCTTGGCGCCTTCGCACTCCACGGCTTGAATTCGCAGATGGGTTTGCACCGTTAGTCCCCGCATCGCCTTTTTTTTTTGGCGTGGATCGAATCTATAGCGAGCTCACCGATCCAAGGGTAGTTGCATCAAGCATGGGAATGCTTGTAGACTTCTGGTGAGTAGGATGTTGCGCAGGTATGATTTCAAACGAAGAAAGCCTCAAGGGCATTGATATATTTTGGATTTTGCTCCCCCGATGTAGAACTCAGAGGTTGCCGGGGAGAAGCCGTGAATGCTGAGGGGCGAAAAAGCCCTGTTTGTTTTGGAGGCCGCTGAGATTTCATTATTTTTTTCGAATGGTTTAAAGAGATTGCAAAAAGGATTACGACCATGTGTGGGTCGCCCCACTTTGACACACACACACAAACTTGCCAAGGCAGCATTCAGGCATTTGTCGGGACGAGCAGTTGGTTGGTTGGCGTGCGCAGGCTAAGTTGCAACCGAAATCACATTTTGTGTGACTCACTTCCTGATTTCCTGGACTTTACTCACATTTTGGGTAGACCATTTTAGGGTACAGTGACTTGACAAGTTTCTTGCTTTTTGGGGCCACCCACTCAATCGGAAGTGAGTTGAGAACTAGAGGATTGCTTCGTTTGTTTTCTTGTCGGAGAGTGAACCAAAACAACTTTGAGGTGTACCTGAGACCTCCAGCATTGCCTTTTCCGAATTGGAGGCGTTTCCCTGTCAAAAATCAGCTACCACAAGTCTGGCATTTCAACCACCCCCTGGTGGTTTGGATTCGTGGCTTGACGATTCGACCCCCTGGTTCTTTTAAATCAAAAACCATCCCTGACCCCCAAACCGCCGGGCTCCAAACCACCAAACAACGAGGGAAGCTCATCCTTTGCCCCGGACCCGCTGCATTTCAGCTGAGGATTTTTGCGGCCCACGCCAGCTTGGCCGCGCGGGCTGCAATGGGGGAGGCGATTCCTAAGTCCAAGCTGGCACAATTTGCGGTTTGCTTTTGGGCAGTCTTTCTGACACATTGCGGACACGAGCTTTGCTCAGGACATCTCATGCACATTTGGCTTTGTGGGGGAAGGCTTCCCACAGGCCTCCACATGTGGTTCTCTCAAAATGTTGAATCTTGACTTTTGGAGGCGTGGCCGCCTCTCTTGTTCCCCCCCCCCCTCCCCGTTCCCATCCCTCCGACCCATCAGCTCCCCGTGAGTTGCATGCATGTCTCCAGCTTCGACAAGCGTTCTTGCCCTCGAGGTCATGCGTATTGCGCAAATGACGCAAGCAAATGTCAGAAATGTTCTTGTTGTTCATTGGCGCATGCAGCTTAACCGCCGGAGCCCAGCCGAAAGCTCGAGAGGAGGGCCGATACGTCAGATGGTAGCATCGGTGAAAGCATGTAGCGGCACCAGGCCAATGCAAGTCACAAGGCCCATGATTTTCAGACAGTTGCGGTGCAAGTACCCGCGTGGTCGCTGAAATGTGTTCTGTTGAGGCTCACGCTTCAGTCAGCTTTCCATCAGTCAAGCCAGGAGATGAGCATCAAGCTAAGGTGGGGGAGCTGAACATGGACACCCTAGTCACCATCCTGAGCCGCTTGAGCCACACATGGGTTGCACTCGTGAAATGCCGGCACTGAAACTTTGGCATGAAAATTTGGGATTGGTCAATTATTGTTGTCTCATGGGCAAAACAGGTTGAATTTTAGTGTGCTCTGGAGTATGGGAAGCAAAGTTGATCTGGATCTTGTTCTTCTAGCACTCTGTAGGCATGACCAGTTTCAGGGCAAGCTACTCCGCCATAAACTGCACAACAACCAGGTCCTCACACTGTACCTGAAGTGAAGGTGGGGGAGAAGGACTTCATCACAGATGACTTGATCGCAGGTTGAGAAAGGCAACTAAGCTCTCAAAGCAGAAAAGCGGGCCTGGATCTGTACGGCAGGAGAAAAACGGTTGTAAGCTGGCAAAATGGAGCCTGGCTGTTTGGTCAAGCTTTCCGAGAGAACGCCATGCGAAGCTATGTTTTAAGTTGTGCAAACATCTGCAAACCGCATCCTAGAAAGATTGCTGGTCGATTGGGTGAGCATCAGTGTGAAGAGGCCGCCCCATTTGGATGCTTTGAGGTGCGGAGCAAAGACTCTTGAGGGACGGTATCCGTATTTCATACAAGCTACTGCCGGCCCGGAAGCAACGCGAGCGAACAGGAACCACAGACACATCAGAATGCCCAAAGCATTGGATCGCAGTTGATCCAGCGGCCGGCGTCCTATTTTAGAGAAAACGTCACTTGCCGAACATTCCCTTGTTAATCCCCCAGGTTTTTGAATCCAGGTCGACAGTGGATCTCCAGATCGAAAAGGAATCTGGAATCCTTTTGTGGGGAAGACGCGGCAAATGGAATTGGGGTACCCGCCTTCCCCATTTAGATACAGGGGGGATTGGGGATTGGCAGAGCCCTGGAAGGGTGAACCCAGGCCGCATCTCGGATTTCAGTGATGACGACGTGCATGCAGCCAGCGCCATTGTGCGAGAGGAGCTCGGGTTGAGTGTCCGGTTTCGGAACCCTTGATGAATCAACACTTGGTTGATCTACAGATGCCATTTATTGCAAACAACCACACTCAACACAACCACCCTAGTTTGCCCTAAATCTACTGGGTTTCCTGGTTTCCTTACTTGCAGTGTCTGGCATTGCTGCACAGAAAGCGTGTTGGAGCCGAATCATCCCGGCAGGTTGATGAATGTCAATCCCAGAGTCCGGAGGACCCTATCGCCCCTGAAATGAAGTTATTCCGCGGCAAGGCGAGCCGGCCCAAATGAGTAGTACAATCCTCCGAATAGATCCGCAATTCCCTAATTGACGTATTGATAGGACGGCTTCAAATGGACCAGACAAGCAACAGAATGAGGCACCCATCAAAGATAGGGCCCAAGTACCCTTCGAGGGGAGCTAGAAAGTTGTCAAATGATCTTTTGAGGAACCACTTGGACCCTTACTCTGGATGAACCACATCCCGCACCAGTTGGGTTGAGCGAAGCCCTATTAAGGATAAATTAGGATGAACCACCTGCCATCTGGTTGTGTCCATCCACTAGGGTACGTAAGGCTTTTGTGCCTCGGCCGGTGCGAGTCCGCAGATCCACCCGGAGCACAAAGTCCTGATGAGATTTCCCCACTTTCTCCAAGTGCGGCGGCCTGAGCGTGGCGAATGACTGTCAGTGGGAGTGGTATGCATGCCAATTCATGCTGTCAAGATGGCGGTGAATTTTAAGCTGCGCCGTCCCCTGCTTGCTGTCTCACGGCAGGATCTGTATCATGTATATACATTACATAAATACACACATATATACATACATATATACACACTATATTATATATATATATGTATATATATATATATGTATATATATATGCGTATAATGTATATTTATATGTGTATAGGTGTGTGTGTGTGTTATGTGTATCTAGAATCTATAATATATGCATTGATGTGTATGTGTATAGACATGCACATATTCTAGAGGGCATCCAGTGCATCACAGCAAAACGGCAGTTGCAGCTCTCGGCACGCTTGGGTTGCCTAAGGATGCGGAGATTGACCGACGAGAATGTGGGGAACATCAACCACCACTGCAGCCGAGTTCTCAAAAAAGCGGCGTGCCTCGGCTCAACTGACTGGCCACCACACTTTGAGTGGGCGACGGCAACCCGTTTTCGTTGGCTTTACTGCAAAAACTCACCTTGTTAGGGCTGCCGGAGGCAAAAGATTCAGTGTTTCACCTTGTTCTGACGGCTTCCACATGACGGTCGCCTGGTCGGGGGCAATGGCTGGACGTTGATCTTGTGCTGGGGTACATGCCCCGCAGGCATCTTCTTTCGTAAGCCGCTAAGAGGACCAGGGCTCAGTACCTCCTGAAATAGAAAGTGGTCCTGGCAGGCTGTGCACGTCTAGGCTTGCTGAAAAGGCGCGGAGATGCACCCCTGAATTAAGAACAGGTCCAGAAGTGAAGATTCTCTGGGAATAGAAAGACCTTGCATCTTAAACCTAGGAAGCTGTGCATCCTCGGAAATTTGCCTCGGTTCAGGACCAGGGCATCGCTCCTGAAGACGTAGCTCGACGCTTTGGCCAAAGCTGAGGTTGCTTAGCCGAAGGCCTGGCGCAACCCGCGCCCGGGGGCTCCGGTTTCCTGGGGGCTAAATCGAATTGGTTTTAGGTTCAGCCGTAGGCGGAAGACAGCAGCCAGAACCAAATCACCGGAGGGCGGACGCGCGACTGGTTTCACCATTCCATTGCGGATCGAACCCATCTCACTAGGAATCGGTACTACGACTTGTTATGACCAGAGAACTGGCAGCGCTGGCGCTGCTACTGCCAACATGGCTGCGAGTCGTGAAATATTGGATGTTTCCCGGAGTTTTCTCGCATAGTGCTCTTGTGGGAATGCTCTAATGGAGCATGAAGGCCAGCATGCTACCGTGCCAGGTCTGAATGTCTGACTGTTCAACTCGTCCAAGATGAGTTCAATTGTTAGGGATGTGTGAAGCATCACACACAGAGTCCTATACAGAACTTTGCCAATGCTGCGACACCAAAAATTGACCTCGTAACGTATAGTCGCATCCAAAGTTGAATGGCAGCCATGAACTTGCCCAGTTCTGCAAGTCTGGGACAGCCGATCTAGGTCTCAAGCTAGCCTCAAAGTGCCAATCAATCGGATCGCTTTGATGGCGGTCTCCTCGTTTCTCGCGTTCCTCGCTGGCTTGGCGCTTGCCAATGGTGCAGAGCCAGCCGGAATCACCAGCTGCACTTCGGGCGCTGAGGATATTTTGGGCAGCAGAAGCTTCGCTGAAGCGTTACCTTTTCGTGTTGCTGAAGAGTCCAAAGTAGTATAATTAGGAGCGCGAACCGTGCATTTTGTTCATAACTGCAAGCGCTTTTAGGCAGTCTGATTTATTTCGCTTCATGAACCATCTGTTCCGTCAACTTCAGGCAAGGCCTTTGCGGTGCAGATTTGCAATCTCTTCGGTGCCACCTGCTTCGTGAACCATCCAGCCATCTCCGACTGCGCCACTGAGGCGCTCTCCATTGCAGACCAGGAGTGCAAGTTGCCGCTTGGGTTTGCAACTAGCTGGCGGGCTGGGGGGGGGGGGGGTAATTATCCAAGTTTGCCTTTAAAGAGCATGCCTTTCGGAGCCACCAGGAGTTCAAGGACATGGTAGGCAAGCCTACTTGGCTTCGATTGAAGGAACCCAGAAATGGATTGCCAACAGGGTTCCCCGACAATCGACGCAACTTGGTGCCCATGGAAAGCTACACTAAATGGATCGCCTCTTCTGTGTGCTGAGGTATCCGATCTTTGAGTATTCGGACAACGCGGTGCGCAGTGGCAGCAGCGCAGTGGAAGAGCTGTCCACCATCGATGACTTGGACTGCACGGTGAGTGGTTTGACCTCCAGCGGTGCCACATACTCAGGCGCTTGTGTGGCCGTACGTTGCGAGGTTGGCTCCAGTGACTTGGCGCTGACTCAGAGTATCTCAGAGTATGGGGCAGCGTCATGCAGCGTTGGTCGACACGGCATTGTGCGATGTGTTAAGTTGATGACCAAGTCTCACAAGTCTTGAAAGCTAAGGTCATGTGGGGCTCGGCATTCATCTCACGAGCACGCTCACTGGCACCCACACTCGCGATTCGGCTACTTCGGACACATCGGCCAACATGCATGCTGTGACCATCGGATCCCTTGCGTCCTCAGCAGCTGGGCTGAAGACGGCGTTCTTGTATCGCACTGGGTCGTACGCGGGCGTATACAAAGTGCAGACGGTTGCAAGTGGCGATACGTCCCTCACGATCGGCGATTTGCCAAGCTCGATGGGCAGCTCACTTGGCCCAGTTGCTTGTCCAAGCCCTAACCAGCTCATGACTTCTGGCACGGCCACTGCCATCACCGCTGAAAACTTGCGCATGTGTGGAGCCACGGATGCAGCTATCCAATACCACGCGGTCAACCTGATTACAGATTACAACTCCCACTCTGCATCTGCTACTGGGAGGGGCACCTTGGGGGCTACTCCTTACCTTTCCGGTTCCAGCATCCAGTATACGCCAACTAGCACTTCCTATCATGCTATCGATCTCACTGTGACTCTTGGATGTCTGGGACCTTACATCTTTACCCTGCACTAAAATGATGATCACTGGTGCTTTCTAAATCCCAGTTTAGGGTCGGATAGGGTTCATCATGGACCAAGGATGGGAGCTAGCGCGTTTGGAATGAATAGTCAGACAATTGTGCCCGGATATGATGGGGCGTCTGCTGGACAGAGCTATGCTGGAACCTACCGGGCGTTCGGTGTCGTCTTCTACTGCGCAGATCGGGCGAGAACGGACCTCACATCATGTCCCGTGGCAGACCGGAAGATGTTCTACGTGGCAGACCCCAACCCGAATGCAGTCTTTGGGGCTGATGCCTCGATGAGCGGCACCACTACGACCACTCAGACCAGCAGCACTGCCACCACGATGACTTCCACCATGACTGCGACCATGACCACGACGGCAACTACGATAGTTGGTTCTGGACAGGCAGGAGGTGCCCCTCGTCAGATCCTGGCCTGGAGTTGTCTTGGCGCAGTGCTGTTGTCGGCATGATCTGACTGACAGAGCACGAAGGCCATGTTTTTGTTTTTTTTTTACAATACGAGATCTGAAATGATTTCGTTTGTCTCACCGTTCAACTTACTCCAATAATTTTGAAGAGTTCACAGTTCAACTGTGAAATGTGTGAAACTTCCCACGCAGAATCATCTATTCTGCTAAACGTCTCACAAAGACTGCCACTGCTGACGCCCTTTGCTGCCAACGCCGCGTCAGCAAGTTGATCTTGTAAGTTGTAACGTGTACCATAGACTTGCTCAGTTCTGCCAGTTTGAGTGAGCCGACTCAGATCGCAAGTGGGCCGGCTCAAGCAAGAATCCAGGAAGGATCCCAAAAACAGGTCAGTCTCCAACACTGTGGTTGATTCCCGGATGTTCCTGGAGACCCCCAAACTGCGGCTTACCAACACTCAAGGGATACGATCAAATGACATGCCAGGGCAGCAAGTTGATTGAGCGAGCCCTCAGGAGCTCCGCAAGAAGGAGGAGGCCTTAGACTCATTGGAGGACACTTCTTTTGCCGGTTCATCACACGTTTCAGCGTTCCACATCCCAGTTGGACTTTAAACTTGGGATCATTTGCTGCACAAAAAGTGTTTGGTGATGTGTCAAAATAGGGTAGGAGTGGGCTTTGGTGTTCCTGTTGGCTTCAAGGTGAAAAGGTACATCCTCAACAAATAACACATGCCCGTATGGGCACCCAGACTAGGTTAAAACTCCAGGTTGAGCCCACGCCGACCGCGTGCGATCAGAGAGTTGACCAATGTGCTAAGGGCTATTTACCACAAGGAGTCGGCACTTGGGAGAAGCCAGACCCAAACATCCAGTGTGTTCCCAGCGTGTTAGTCGGGAAGCACAGTCTGACCTATTGCAGGTTTTCACGCGGCTGCAAGCCGCTTGCCAGTGTGTCAGACGAGGTGTCCATGTACCGACTCAGACGAATTGGTTTCGACGCCCATGCGAAGAAGCCATTCAATTCTCAGGAGGAGGCGGCTCATCTGGTCGAGAGGCGCAGAAGCTTCGAGGCGACGCTTTCCGGCGCTGGAAACCTCAGACCTGCCGATCCTTGGGGAACTCACCATGGCTGGTCTTTGGTGTGACCAAATCGCCATCAGAACCTTTTGGAAAAACATGGCTTTTCCATACCTAGAAAAGATGATCGAATATTTTGCTCCGGGGTTGGAGCATGTTGGAAAGACCCAGGTAGCCCTTGCCCCGGGGTTGCAACCGTGAGGTAAGAAAGGCGATCCTTGAGTTCCCGTGATTCACGAGTGATCGGGCTTCCATGAGCTTTTGCGTTTCGAGCCTCGAGTTCGCGGTGGGCCTGCGGCCTTCTTTACGGTCGAAGGGGGGTGCCTCAATGCTTAGCAATTCTGGTGCTCCCCCACGTGTTTTGTTCTATTTGGTTTCCCTTTGGAGGTGAGCAAGCAAAAGAGGCCCAGTTCTCCTAATTGTCTGATATTTGCTCAGTTCCCGACATGTTTTCCTTTCGGTTTCCCTTTGCAACAGCTACACCCAGTGGCTGCCATCATTTGTCGCTTCAATTTCCATGCCCAAAAGGAGCCGGAGGAGTTCTCAATGCAGGCGTATGCGCAGGGAACTGGGGATCGGGCCATGCACTGGGAACAAGGAACCCCTGATAGCCGTGATGTTTTATAGTTCAGTGTGATTGGGTGATTTTTGTTCAAATTGATTGGTACTCCTGGCCCTCAAGTTCGGGCAACATCAAGCAGTTTGCGGTTTGAGGGTCCGGCTTTGCGACACATTCCCCAACTAAAGGCTCAAGACCTCTGAAAAGCTCAAGCCCTTCCCGCAATGTTGTCTCAAGGTCTATCGGACAAATTCGAGCCAGTCGAATCACCTTTTCCAGCTGATTTAGAGCATTTTCTTGCAGTTTGGATGTGTCCGTTACTGGGTCTCCTGCTTCTAGGGGGAAGTTGATCCTTCTTGCCAGCAGTCTTGTCCCGAACAATACGCTGGCGTCAGCATATGGATTCAAGTGACCCGCGGGTTTGTCAACCATGGACAGCGACAGCTGCATTGTGAAGCGATGCGCTTACTGCACTGGGTGCTACTTTGAAGATCACATTTTTACCTCACAGTGTATGAATGTGTTGGTTCCGTCCTGCACGATCCCATCTGCTTTTGCACCTAGGGGGTCAAAGCTTAATGTCTGGAGTCCGTGCTTGGTGGCAAATCTAGACATGGCTTGTGAAGAACGACGGGCGGGCCGAGTTTGTACCCGTTTTCTGGGGAAAAGAAGCGGGGTCCGTGGGAAAAGCAAGTCCCCCAGCTCATTTCCGGAAGCGGTCTTTTCGATGTTTTTCCATCTGAGCCGCTTGCCGCAAATGTGAGCAAGAACACGGGTGTTCGGAAGCTCCAACCGTGCGGCCGCTTCCAACACACCGGTTTTCACCAGCAGCTCACCCTTGGGAGGCGTTGGCTCCTGAATTCGCCTAATACCTGAGTTGCTCAATGGAACGGGTGCCCTTGTTCGTGGGCAGCCGGCTAGATATATGAAGTTGGGGTGGGCTGTAGAGGGAAGGAAGCTTTGTATGTGTGTTGTTTCACTTGCGCACAGTGATGTTTTTTGCTTCCTAGTTGTCACACTGTGTAAAGCTGGTGGCGACGTTCATTTGCAAACAGCCTGGGGTACAAACAATCCCATGGTTGATTCCTAGCCCGGCTTTCCTCCCAGTCCAGGACCCCAAAAATATTTGGTTGCTCCGGATTTGTGCTCTCTAAAGCCAAACAAGGGATCCCCAGCAGAAAGCGAACGATAGACACTTAGTTTCTCTCGCTTTTTGCCTGTCGCGCAAGGAGCCATCCCACTCGGTCGCGCCGGCATCCCAGGGAGCTGTTTTGGCATATGGCATTCGTGGTTGGTGTTAGCCGCTTTGCGTGGTTTCTGTTCTCGCTTCAGCCAGCCCTGACCTCCCATTGGTTGCCTCATTCACGTGGCTAAAAATGGTGATGTTCCTTTTCAGTTTCCCCTTTAACCCAAGGTGAAAAGGGTATATACTTTCAACATGCACACCTGCATACACCTGCATTGCGAACAGAGAGAAGCTCCGAAAACGTCCAAGGCAGACCTTGGTGACGCACATCGCCGCCGACGAAACCTCGGTGATGCAACTGCCTCACGACCACCAAGAGGCGGGACTGGGACTGGGAGCCGAAGTCATTTCTACGGGTTGTGAAATGGCCCCGTTTTGGAGCCTTGTGCTTGTCGCATCTTGTCGCCCTTTGAAAGGGTCCCCTATATTTCCCCGTTCGGTGGTTTAACCTCACCCTGTCTGAAGGCGGCGACTTTGCACCGGACGTTTTGGCTGGGATGGCTTTCTCCGCGTCTGGTGGCATTCAACGAATCCTGGTGGCCAGCCGTTTGGCTCACTTGGCCCGTTCGATTTGGAATTCGGCAGCTTCATTTTTTACGTACGGCCGGTAAAAAGGTGCTTTTTTGCCTGAGGCAACTTTCGAGATATGTGTGATTCTCCAACCCTCGGTAAGAAAAAGGTGAACGCCCACAACAGACAAGGGCCGGAAAGCGAAACAGCTGACAAATACGGCCAGCCAAGAACAGAATCGACGTTTGCTGCTGGCACCCCAGCTTCATGAATCGAGGGGTTTTGTCTTTGGGAGAGGTCCTGCTTTCCACTCGCAAACCACTGCCGCCATGGGCAAAACTGGGACCTAAACCTACATTTTCATCTGCTTCGCTTCCTAGCAAATTGGTTAGTGGAGATGTCATGCAATGGATGCGCGCCTCTCTCTCTCTCAACTTCATTTCCCTCAGGGGCAGTGGCTGAAAGCTGATAGTGTTTGTGCAAAGGGAGGCCCAGCAGAAGCCAATCTGGCCAAATGGGCCGTCTTTTTTGGAGTTGGTCCCCCTGTTCTTGTGGCCTTCAAGGAACACCAAAAGGACCCACCATGATGTTGCAGGGGGTTTTACTTTGAGACACACCCAAATCAACAGCTTGAACCTGAAGCAGGACGAGGAGGCAGAGGCCGATGAGATGTGGGACATGGCCCGGGCCTCTCTCGAAAAAAATCGGCCTTTGGTTGTCTCCCGATGTTATGGCGAGGTCTTAGGCCTTTGTAGGCCATAGCTTCATTTTTGCAGGACTTCCCAACCGGACAAGCGCGTTCTTCCCCAAGTCCTGCAACAGCGAGTTCCTGCGAGACAAGTGCAAGGGCCAATGGCCCAACAGATGTTGAAAGCTCCAGAAGGCAATTTGTTCAAGAACCCTGGGCCCTGTCCCTTACGCTACATGGGAAAGGGGCCCAGAAATAGTTTCTCCCGCAGACCGCTGACTTTGAGCCCCTCAAAAGTCTCTGAAGCTGGTGCTTGGTTGCTGAAATCTGGGGTTCTGTCGGACGGCTTGAATTGAAACCTTGGGTACAGAAATGGTACACACATGTTTTGCGCGTCAAGCAACCTGGCCCCCGCATGGCGCGGCATCAGGATTGGACGGCCGTCACCAAAGGCGCTGGAGCAATTGGAATTGCCTTCTGTGTTCGGGAGTGGGTCGGGAACTGGGCAGGTGAATGGCGGAGTGGAAACCTTGGTTTGGGCTTGTCAGCGCAGCAAGTGTCAGGAAAGGATGCCCCTTGCCCAAGTGACATCTTGCCCGTTTCAGCATGACTGGTTAGGTGCAGGGTTGGTACAGAGAGGCCTTGCATGTTTGAGTCTAAGCCTGGGAGGTGTAGCTAGCAAGCGCCTGCCTCAGAGGGTGTGCCGAAGGCTTGATTCTCAGGCGAACGTTCGAGCATGTGAAATTCTGATGTGTAAATCAACGGGTCGAACAAAGGCACTGGTCTTCTGTGGTTTTCCTCTGCCAGTTGTTTACACCCCACTTGGAGTAACCCGACGAGCGGTCGCCTCATGCCAGCGCCCGCTGGTTTTCCCCAAGGCCGTTTTCTCCGCCCGAGAGCTGCTTGGCCAGCATGCCGGGGAGCGCCTTTTCAAGGAAGGTGACCCTTGAGACCAGACGCGCGAACGCGCAAATCCGCCCTCCACAAGGGTCCTCCACCATTGCAGGCCTTGGCGGTTTTGTTGTTTAGTATGTGGCAAACTTGTTTGAGATTCGAAAAGTGGAGCTCGGCGTGCCGAAGGCGTGCCGCAGTCTTCGTGCCGTGGGCCGGCTGTGCATCGATGATTTCCATGGTTGTGGGTGATGGGGTTGTAGAGGCATGTTCTCTGATACCAAAGGGACCCCTCTGTAAAGTGATAAAGTAGTAGATTGCTCGTTATGGCATCAAAGTTCTCAGAGAAAGGGGGCTTGCCACAACCCGAGGACAAGCAGACGTGGATAGAGCACTGCAGCAGAAGATGGAGGACTCAAACCCCGGAAGCCGCGCCACGCCTCAGTTTCTTCAGTAGGTTCCAGCCTTTCCCCTGCTTTGTTTGCTTACCCAGAAAAATGCTCAACCACAAGTGCTCTCCTTTTTCTACCCGGGCCGCTGACCTGGCAATCCATTTAGCCGAGTTGGCCTCATGACCGGGTCAACATCTGACTGGACAGGCGTTCAACCCAGACTGGGTTGAATGCCGTCTGGGAACCGGGCCCAAGAGTTGAAGCTTTATCCGAGCCATGAGGATGGAGCTGTACAGATTCCGATGCTCAGCAGGTAGGGCTCTAGTTGCAGTTTCATGGTCACTGGAGAGCTTAAGGCGCACACGTGAATGTTCAATGACTCAAAGGCCCAGTTCAAAAGGACTTGTTCGTCGGGGTCCTTCCTTTTCTTTGGCAAGTACGGAATAGACATGGGGAAGTATTGCGAGTTCGATGGCTGTGATTTCCTGATCTTGGGCGCGGCTTGGAACGCCGATTAAGGACCCGCTACGGATTTATTATTTCCAGTGTGTGACTTGTGATTTGCCAAGCCAGACTGTTTCCGTCATCTCCTTTCAAACTGTTGTTCATTGCAAGGTTCACTGGATGTGGACCAGAATTTGAGATCTTATTTTCGGATGGGGGCGCAATTTGTTGTGCATGAACGAAATCCGCACCAGTTGATAGTTGGTTTCTCCTAGTATTCTCAAGATGCCCCCATCCCAACTGGTGCGGAGTGGAATTTGTTCATACACAGTAGAGGATCCCCCTTGTGACTTTGAAGGGAGCCGAAAGGAAGCCGTTGCCAGTGTTGGGGATCCGATTCCTTTATTTGTGAGTTTCACACCCACATCGCCCATGAACCCCAGTGAACCCATCGAGGGTGGATGATTTGTTTTGCCCTCCCAAAAACAAACGTAGAACCTGTAGAGGAACCGTTTCCTGTGAGACCATGTTCCTAAGGGAACCCGCCAGGAGAAGCGACGCCTCGCGGACCTTCACAGCGGCGAGGACGGAAAGCGCGCACAAGACACGCAATAGAAATCCGGAGTCGGGGTGTCCGTTTTTTGCTGGGGGGGGGGGGGGCATTCTGAGTTGTGTGTTTCTTCTGCAGTTTGGAGGCTGCCCTTTCTGAGTCAAGCTCTGTTTGCATGCTCTTCGGGTCATTTTGGAGGGTGGTCTTGCTGGGGAGGTTACGAGTTTTCTTGTATTTCTTTGAGGGCGCCCTCACCGGGGTTGCTTCGATTTACAGGCAAACCAAAGGGAATCCGATGGAAACGTCTTTGTGGATGTCCCGCATTTTGAGTCCTGACCAGTGCGTGCCCTGCACATGACCCCTGGATTTGCGGCCTTGGAGCATGGGTCGCAAAATGTTTTTAAACGAATGGCGTCGATCTGGAAGCTTTCTTTCAACTGGCACTCCAAAAATGCCATGGGCAAGGCTCCCCCATCTCGAAAGTGGCGGTAAATCCTGACGGTGCCTACCTCAACCGCCTCAACCCAGTTATTTGACTTCTTTTGGATCCAACCCTGGTGCCCCAGGGCCGCCATCCGAAGGTCGGACCTCCAAGAATCTCATTTGAGGCAGAGGGCATTTTGCTGGGTCACCACCAAACCTGCTGGGCTACCGCTAAGTGGCAAAGCAGTCATAAGTATGGTCCGCTTTTTACAGAAGGGGGTATGTCCCACCTCCAGGACCACATGACTTTGGAGCGCCCAGAATTCGACAAGGGGTCGATGCCGGGGGTGCATCCGGACATTGCGGCCAAGCTTGAGGCGCGCCTTCTTGGGTGGGAGGTTAAAAGAAAAACATGATTTTCTCCAATCCCATTTGTGTGCCTCGTCGTTTGTTGAGGCTCGGTACCCTTGGCGGTATCAAGGTGAAAAGCAAACTTGCCAATTTTAGAGTCCCGTTTGAGACAAACCCATTTTCTATTTTGGATTTCTTTCTGGATGGGCCTTTTCCCTGATTCGCAGGGAGGGGATTCTGTTGTACCATGGACAAATCCAGCTCGCACCACTTGGCAGTTTGTGCCATTGATAGGGTTTTATCCATCCAAACAGTCTAAGGTCCTAGTTACATATCCCAAATAGACACACCCCAAAATCAATGGTTACGCAGCATGGGCTATAGTAGACCCTGAATTCTTACATGTGGCTTCTAGTTACGGTATGTGAATGGGTGTGTAAGTAGAGTCTTAGAAACTAGGGCGGAGCGGGTTTTGTCCTTATACAGTAGCCGCCCCCCTTTTCACTTTGAAGGGAGTCGAAAGGAAGCCGTTGCCATGGCTGGAGGTCCGATTTCTATCTGTGCGGGTCTCACACCCAAATCGGCCGACAAACTTTGACAAGTTGCGGGGCCGGGGGGGCGGGGTGTTGGGGGCGTCCAGGGTTCGTAGCCTCAAAGGGCAACCCATCCTGGAATCTAAATCGACTCGTGGAGTTTGGCAAGTTGAGGCACCGAGGCCTACATGTGCGGTTGATGCCTAGCGGTAGCTAAGATGCGCAAGATTGCTGAATTAATCACTGACCAAGTCTCCACTCATAGCAGTCGATGTAGCAAGCTTAGAAAGAGGCTGCAGGGAGCGGACACCTGCCTTGACAGTGGAGGGGGGCAATCCATGACTCACGCTGGGCCTTGCATGTCCGCATGGAGCCAGCCAGATCTTGGGCTCGCCGATTTTTGAATGCGGCGACTACCTGAAACAATTCTGCGATTCTCAGTGTTGTGGATTGTAATGCAATCCTATATGCACACGTGACTTTCGAAGGCCTATCCCGGTCGCACAGCACCCTGGGTTTGTTTTTTTCTGGCAGGAGCGTCGGCGGGCATTGGAGGACTGAGGTTCCCCGAAAAGCGCAAGCGGACGAACAACTCCGTTGCAAATTGAAATGACCTTGGTCAAACTCCAAAATTCAGGTATCCCTCAATTGGTGGTCTGGGTTGGTGGATACAACTCCGCTGTAGCAGAGGGCAAATGGGAAATCACCCCCAACCACCAAACCATCAATCAAACCGCTGAAGCTTCGTTCATATTTTGTCAAGCTTCCCCAGCATCTCACATGGAATGTAAGAGGTCCAGTTCAGAGGAAGATCGCGGGTACTGTAACATGATGATTCCATGTCTTGTGATTGTTGTATTTGTCATTTGCCCAGACCACACGGCTTTTCGACAGCGGCACAAGAGCAGCACGATGAGAAGTAAGGTGCATGCTTTGTCCCGAAGCCACGAATTCTGCGTTGTGGTCGACGAACAACGCACTTCTGGCTAGAATGTTGTCGCCCCCATTGGCAACCTGGGCATCCAGTGAAGGTGGCCTTTGTGAGGTATTCGTAAAGGGACCTACTCATCGATCGGTGTAGAAAAGGGGCTGGTTCCCGAAAAAAATATGGGAAGCCAACCTTGCAGCATTTCCAGGAAAGCAGCGCTTCGCCTCAGTCGCCGGCTTAGTTTGCACCGTGACTGATCGCCGCGTCCAGCGCTGTACCAAGGTTCTGTTCAACTGGACAACGCTGTGTTTCCAAAGTTGGGGGAGGCCATGTTAATTGGAAAGTAGGCCTAATATGTTGTGTTGGCGTTGGTTGATGTAGAGGTTTGGTTGGTTGGCCGGTGTCTGTCGGGTGGTTGCTCTGCTTTGTTTGCTTTACTGAATGTTGCTGCTTTGGTTGGCTTGGCTGGCTTTGCTTTGTGTGGTGTTCGGTTTAGTTTTTTTTGTCAGGCAACCCTGAATTGTCTTGGGGATTTGAACCGCTCCTTGAGTGTAAATTTGGCAATCGCCTAGTAACTGAACCACCAAGTTCACTCCCGGGCTTTATACTTTTCGTGATCGCTTTTTGTGGGAAGAACACAGTTCGGACTCCCAATCCACGGAAGTGAGGTTCAACCCACCCCTTTTCGAGAAAAAGAAGCTGACTTCGAGTTGTTTTCGGCCTGTTTGCTTGTGTTCGACCTTGAGGCCTTGAGTCCGGTGCCGAAGGCGCCTTAGCTCCGGCTGACAATCAGAGTTGTACAGGAGAGATGTCCCGGGCCAAGTCCGAACCATGGCCAAAGTGTTCGAACTCCAGAGGCAAACCATGCCCGAGGCTGCAGCTGGAATGTTGATGGGTTTGTCTCAAAATAGGGAACCCCAAAATTGTGTTTGTTTGTTTGTTTGCCGACTAAACTAACCCCAAAGCAGTACCCTCAGACAAAAACAAGCAGACACACACACACACACACACGATGTGCGCGTGTTAAAAGTTTGCCTTTGGATTTCAAAATGGAAATTGAGCCGATCAACCAAAAAACTGCCCACTTCAACTGAGGCTCCGTTTCGTGTCGCCTGGTGCCGTCTCTTTTTTGGCCTTGGGACTCGCAAGAGGCAGGAGCCCTTCCTGGATCCCGCACCACGATCAGAGCAAGTCATTCACATTGCTGAGATTGTTGCGTCTCTTTGCTCTGATCACTTTCCATTGTCACTACCTTTTCGGGCACTAGTCAAAGGCTGGTTCTCCTGCCGAATGAATGCGGAGGCCTGCCCTTTGCAACTGGAGAGGAGCTGTGCATGAAAAGTTCCCCCTGCATCCTGTCACCCAGTATGACCGTTTGTTGTTCTGTCAAGCCCCGTGCTTGGCCGTAGCTGGCACCTGCGCGCTGTTTTTTTTTCCGGATACTGATACCCGTATGTCCAACTAATTGTGGGACAAACCGACATGACAAGCATGATGTCTCTTCGGTGAACAGATGTCAACGCCATACCAAGCACAAAGGTCACGTGTTTTATAATATGCCTTTGTCGTGTCCCGCTGCTTCCCTTCCAGCTTTCTGAAAAGAGATTTGGTAGTTGGCTTTCCTGGATTGTTTTCCTACATGCTGTTTTGTTTCTGGGTGGACCGCCCTTTGTGGTTTGGGTATAAGGCATATGGGTTTGCCTTGCCCCCCCCCTCGTTGTTCGGGTAGACCCCCCGCAGTAGCACCAAAAGTCAATGGGTTTTGTGCTCTGCTCACATGGCCCTTGCACGTTGCATTTCCCTCAGCGCTCGAATCCAAGCGAATCCCCGGATGGCTACTTGCAGCATGGCGCCGCACCATGGCGCAAGGCTGGGGGGCGTGAGGGGGCTTGGTTGGCGTGGCTGGGCACGTTGGTTTGCAGAAAAAACAAAAGGCACACCACCAAGTATGGGGTTCAATCCACCCTATGACATGTGCAAAAGTGTCTCCCCGTGGAAGGGCATTGAGCAACATGTCTCATTTCCAAGAAAGGGGGTCCCTTTAGGCAAAGCCCACACACGCGTGAGGCCAAAGGAGCACAGATCAATAGTGGATAGTCCGGCGTTCCGAGGGCAACCCGCGAGTTTGGGTTTCTGTGAAATGATGCTTGCTCATAGGGCGCCGTGTTTTGGTCGGAGAAGCTTTGAAGCATTGACATTGTGAAATCAACGCCACTACGCGGAGCCCACACGTACAAAACTGTGGATGTTCAGAATGAATTCTGGCAGAGACTTCATCCTTAAGCCAGTTGGTAGGTTCTCTGGTTGTATTGGTGTCCCACGGGTTTGGCTAATGAGCTCAACCGAGGCAGATGGACAATCAACACATGTCGCTGTGCGTCCTATTTTGAACCCGCGTGGAACGGCAGCTAAATGGCATTGCTTCATTTTGGCCAGAGACACGCGCACACACACACACCTCCTTCAAATGCTTCCAGCCGTTTGCCGACAGCATGTTACACACATCTTTGATATCCGGGTCCCATGTCGGAAAGGGTTATGCAGCTTTCCCACCTTGCTGCGAACAAGACGTGCGGTGAGAACAGTCGCGCAAAGCACATAGCTTCTTAGCCTTCAAGAGGAGAAAGGAAACAATATCGATGGTTGCCGAGTCTTCCCAGAGCCTGTGGCTTTACCACGAGTTTTTGTTGGGGAGTGCAAAGATTGATTCCGGCTTGCCATTTGAGTAAGGCTGGTCCTTAAAATCTGCTGGCTTCTTCCCCTAAAGGTTCCAGCGCAGCACGGTTTTAGACCTCCTGACCGTCACTCGTTTTATAACCCCGAAAACCTGGGTCCAAGGCGGGCCAGGGTTCCCCATAGTCCTCCTTTTTTTTTAGACACCACCTCTTAGGTGCCAATTTAAGATGTATTTCCTTGTGTGGATGTTTTCCGTTGGAAATGAAGGGAGCCTGCTTTGGTTGTCCAAGAATCCAGAACCGTCCATGGATCTTCTAACTTTGGAGATGCTCAAAACTGGGAAATGGACGAGCCCTGTCACGGTTCAAGGACCCCTAAAAGGATAAACCAACAATAAGCCCTGAATAAATGCCTCAGGAGAACCCTCCTCCCCGTTCCCTGCAGGCTGCGCAGGTTCTCGCCACTGGCCTTCGTGTTGCTCGGCCTCGCTATGTCGTTGGCCGGCTGCAGCACTGAGACTGGTGACCCTTCGGTCACCACGGAGCCTTCCACGGATTCCACGCAGACGCAGACAACCACCACCGTGAGCTATGCGGCTTTCACCCGCTCTAAGGCGCCATGAAAGAAACGCAACCTAGCTTCCCAAAAGGAATGTACAGTGTATTGCTTGCTTGCTTACGTGCTTGCTTGCTTGCGTGCTTGCTCACTTTCTTGCTTGCTCGCCTGCTCGCCTGCTCGCCTGCTTGCCTGCTTGCCTGCTTGTGTGTGTGTGCTTGTCCTATTTGTTTGTTTGTTTGTCTGTCTGTCTGTTTGTTTTTGTTCGTTCGTCCGTGTTTGTCCGTGTTTGCTTGTTTCTTTGTGTGTGTGTGTGTGTGTTTTGTTTTGTTTGCTTGCTGGCTTATGTGTTGTCTGTTTGTGTGTTTGATTGTGCTTTTTGTTTGTTTGTTTGTTTGTTGGTCTTGCTTGTCGTGGTTTGCCTTGCTTGCTCTCATTTGATCTGGTGTTGTGTTTGTGTGTTTGTTTGTTTGTGTGTTTGTTTGTTTGTTTGTTTGTTTGTTTGTTTTGTTTGTTTGTTTGTTCGTTTGTTTGTTTCTTTGTTTCTTTGTTTCTTTGTTTCTTTGTTTCTTTGTCTTTTCGTTTGTCTGTCTGTTTGTTTGTTTGTTTGTTTGTTTGTTTGTTTGGTCGGTTGGTTTGTTTGTGTGTGTTTTTTGTTTTTGTGTTTGCGTGTTTGCTTGTGTGTCTGCTTGTTTGCGTGCTCGTGTGTTTGCTTGCTTGTGTGTCTGCTTGTTTGCGTGCTCGTGTGTTTGCTTGTTTGTGTGTTTGCCTGTTTGCGTGCTTGTTTGTTTGTTTGATTGATTGGTTGGTTGGTTGTGTGTTTGCCTGTTTGCTGCTGCTGCTTCTGCTGCTGCTGTTGTTGTTGGTGGTAATGTTTCTTGGTTGTTTGTTGTTGCTGTGGTTGGTGCTGGTTGTGGTGGTGGTGTTGGTTGTGGTGTTGGTTGTGGTGTTGGTGGTGGTGGTGGTGGGGGTGGGGGAGGAAGTTAGTGCTTGGTTCTTGGTTGTTGGTTGTTGGTTGTTTGTTGTTTGTTGTTGTTTGTTGTTGTCGTTGTTGTCGTTGTTATTGTTGTGGTGGGTTGTTTTTTCTCTTGGTTTGTTGCTTGGTTGGTTCGTTGATCGGTTGGTTTGGTTGCTTGGTTTGTTGGTTGGGCGGGTGCTTGGTTGTTGCTGGTGTCGTTATCGTTGTTCTTGTTGTTTTTGTGTGTTATTCTGATTGCTCTTGTTTTTGCTTTTGGTAATGGTTGGCTAATGTCGGTGTTGGTGCTGGTGTGTGTGTGTGTTGGTTGGTTGTGTTGAGTGGTTGTTGATTGGTTGGTTGGTTGGTTGGTTGGTTGGTTGGTTGGTTGGTTGGTTGGTTGGTTGGTTGGTTGGTTGGTTGGTTGGTTGGTTGGTTGGTTGGTTGGTTGGTTGGTTGGTTGGTTGGTTGGTTGGTTGGTTGGTTGGTTGGTTGGTTGGTTGGTTGGTTGTGGTTGTTGCTGTTGCTGTTGCTGTTGCTGTTGCTGTTGCGGTTTGTTGTTGTTGTTGTTGTTGTTGTTGTTGTTGTTGTTGTTGTTGTTGTAGTAGTTGTTCTTGCTGTTGCTGTTGCTGTTGCTGTTGCTGTTGCTGTTACTGTTACTATTGCTGTTGCTGTTGCTGTTGCTGTTGCTGCTGTTGTTGTTGTTGTTGTTGTTGTTGTTGTTGGTTTTTTTTTGTTTTTTTTTTGTTGTTGCTGCTGCTGCTACTCCTGCTGCTGTTGTTGTTGTTGTTGCTGCTGTTGCTGCTGTTGCTGCTGCTGTGGTTGTTGTTGTGGTTGTTGTGGTTGATGGTTGTTGTTGTTGTTGCTGCTGCTGCTGTTGTTGTTGTTGCTGCTGTTGCTGTTGCTGTTCCTGTTGCTGTTGCTGTTGCTGTTGCTGTTGCTGCTGTTGTTGTCGTTGTCGTTGTCGTTGTCGTTGTCGTTGTCGTTGTCGTTGTCGTTGTCGTTGTCGTTGTCGTTGTCAGTGTTGTTGTTGTTGTTGTTG